CGCCATATCTATGAAAATTGAAAATCTTGAAAATTTACGCTCCAAAAATACTTTACAAAATATACTATTTTCAAAACTTGAAATCCATTCTTTGCTCATAGCCATGCATCTTGATGTCGAGATGATCAATTTGAGGATATTTGGGCATCAAAATATCTTCTAATGAAAATTGAGGTAGGCTCGAATTTGATTTTTAGAGCCTCAGCTCAGTACAAACTTTTCCCTTATATGAATACGAAATTTGATATGTGCCATCATCTTGATGGGCGCTCCTAAAAAAATATTTAAAAATTATTTCGATAAAATACAAAAACAAAAATACCCCTAAAAATTTCAAAGGCCTTTTGGTCATTTTATTTTATTGAAGAATTTTTTTTTTTTTTTACATGTGCGGATTTAAGATAAGAGTGGATACCTAAAAATTGTTGTCAAAATAATATGTAAATTTTTAAAAAAAAAAAATAGTGTCGAGGCCTGGCATTGTAATTGGGTCATCTCAACTATCCATTCTGAATGGATGGTTGGATAAGGGAAAGTATATAAGTTTTATACTATAGAAGAAATATAAATAGCAAGCACTAAAATTAATATCATGTTAAACAATAAAGTAAAATTTAAGTATGAAAAAGATAAATCACCACACGGTTCAAAATTTTAGATATATTACAATGAGATCCTTTTTTTTTTATCTTTGTTTGGATAGTTTAACTTTCGAATCACCTACCACTTAAGGATATGTGGAAGGTTTGGTATTGGAAGTTAAGTGTGATGTTTCGGCTGCATGAGGGGGCATGAAAGAGGAGACTTCATTTTTTTTTTTTTTTCATGTTCAAAAAAAAGTGAAAGGCGCCACTTCCATGCCCTCCATGGAACCTAAAAGTTTGGAAGGTTTATGCAAAAAGACGACGTATTTGAGCAGTTTAAAGTGCATCTTTCGGATTTTTAAAAACATATATGTTTGGGTGGTTCAAAGATCCATCTTTCAAATTGCCAAAAATATAAAACAAATGACGTATCAAGGCAGTTCAAAAATTGCACTCTTCTACTACCGAAAACAAGAAAAAAAAAAAAAAAAGAGTGGCCATTCAATAGTCCAACTCTCGAAAATACATCCTTTTGGTGTTTTAAGTAGATCAAGAGGTGAATTTTGTAACTACACAAACTCATGTTTTGGATGGATCGGAAGTTACACTTTTGAACAGCTCAAATACATCATTTTTTTTTTGTTTTTTTTTTTAATTTATAAAGAGTTACACCAGTGCTCGAAATCGTAAAAATCAATAGAGAGAGAAATACCTCTTTCTATAATATCACTTCGGACACCGGTATATAACACGTCACTTACTCATGCGAACACATCTACTTATAAATATACTTGCACACTCACTCTCCTATATGCTCACACTCGGATGAACAACATGTACACACTACGCAACCCCGATTGATATTTAAGATCAAACGACCGCCTTCGTAAAATGTCATGCTCCATGAGAGTACACGTGGCCCCATATTCTACAAGGTGATGAG